TTCCAATTCTCCATAGTTGCTGCTGTTATCATCCTGAGAAGATTGTTGGCTTCTGTAGTCATCATCAATACTTCCCTCGGGTGTTGCGTCCGCGATGCTTCCTTCTGATGTTGTACCAGCAATGCTTCCTTCTGGGGTGTAAGCATACCATACTGATCTCCCTTCTTCGTCGATTTCGTAGTATCTGTCAGGGTAGATCCATCGTTCAACTCCATTGATAAATATTCGTATTCCAGTCCCTGTGGCTCCTGGAGCTGGATTGTTGTTGGTAGGTGGAGTTGTGGGTTGGCCTGTTCTTGAGGGATAATCGATTCTCCACTGAGTCGAAGCGTCGTACTCATGGAAGTCGGGTGCATCAGGGTCTGGTTGATGTTGTCCGGGATAGTAGACTTCATATTCGTCTTCGTTGTTGATGATGTCGCTAATGTCATCTGAGAATCCATCGTCATAGTAATCTTCTCCGTCGTAGGGTCCATATTCAGGGGCATATCCGGGTTCTGTCCCTGATCCATCAGAGTGCACAGATATTGCATCATCTGCTGATCCTCCCATTCTCGTGTATGGTCCTCATTGATCATTGGTATCAGTATCAGTATGTCCATTGTTGTTAGGGGTTGGAGATGGTGGCTCATATTGTGGTGGTGGCGTTCCTGCTGGTGGCGGAGGTGATCTGGGTGGCTGAGGTGGCTGCTGTCTTGCAATTGTGTAGGGCCACTCGTTTTCCCATCCGTCAAATTGTCGTAGGCATTGCAGGAATCTTTCCACTCTGTCTCGTCTCCAACAGAACCATTGGTCGGTCCTGACATTGCTCCACATGTTGATGCATAGTTCGGCATCGCATTCAAAAAGTAATTTGTCATGTTCCCCCCTAAGCTGATACCGTACGTTATTGTTGCTTCGTTCGATTCTGACATGCTGGAATTCGAACATGTTGAGGAAGGGCAGATATCGGATCCAAAATCCGTTGTTCCTAGAAGTGCTGGCCAGTTGTCTATCGATAGCCAGGTTTGCTTCAATTCCGGCTTCTTCCCAACCTTGTGGATCGCTGCAGATGACATT